AGGGCCCGCCTACTCTGCTGGCCCCGCCTGGGGCCTGGGATGTGGGTTCCCACTTACACAGGGCTCCTCCCTCCCGCCCCCAGTCTCTCCCCAGCAGAGCCCTCCCTGGCCATCCCATCCCAGAGGACAACTCCTTCCAACACTACCAGGCGCTGATCACCAGCTGACACGCCAGATGCCTTGTTTCCCAGCCCGAGCCCCCACTGGAAGGAATGCCCTGTAAGAGCTCGGTGTTGGCTGGGTTGCTTGCTTCTGCTCCACACGAGAACAGCGCCTCCACAAAGGAGGCACTCAGTAAAGAAAGCCCAATGAACGCATTAAGCCAAGATGACTGACGCAGAACTAAAGGGGCGCGGGAGGGAGGGAGCAGCAGGCTGGAAGGAAGGCGGGGAGCAGGACACACCTGAAGAACTGCGAGGGTGGCAGGGAGGGAGGGGGTGAGGCTGGAGAAGCAGGTGAGAGCAGGCAGGGCCACGGAGGCCCCTCGGGAGCTGGGTCCTCCAACAGCAACAAGAAGCCACTGCACTGGGAGTGGCCTGAGCAGGCAGGCCTTTTATAAAACGCTCACCTCAGAGGGACGTGGATTTGGGGGAGGTAAGGGGGAGCTCAGTTAGTGGGCTGGTGCCATGACTCTGACCACAGGTGACCTCAGCTTGGACAGAGGTGGCAGAAGCGGAGGTGAAGAAAGGGAAGCAGATTCCTGGCATATTTAGCAGATAAGAATCAAAGTTCTGATCACAGGGGGAGGTGAAAGGGCAGCTTCAAGATCACCTTACCTTTCGGACCTGTGAGCTGAACAGGCAGCACCACTCACTGGGGCGGGGGAGGGGTGGTAAGGAGATGGTGGGAAGGTGAACTTGAGCAGAGTCTTGGAAATATTGAATTTGAGATCACTGCGAGATCAGCAGGGGGCAGTGAAACAGCCAGGGCAGCACGAGCAGATCCTGAAAAGTGCGGTGTGTCACGCCATGTTGTGTAGATTTTTGCCTGGTGTCTGATGGTTAATCAAGTGACAGGATAAGATGTGTGGTTCTGAAAAGTCACCCTGGCCACCGCGTAAACACCTGGGTGGGGGAGGGACTAGTCTAGAAGCAGGGAGAAAGTGAGGCCACTGCAATAAGCGAGGTGGGCCAGCAGACCTGAGCACGGCTGCACGGCGGCAGGAAATGGGAACAGATCTCGCACAGCTGCTGGGGATTTTTCTAAAACACGAAACCAGATCATGTCGGGTCCTCACTTAAAATCGCTCAGGACCTTCCACCTTTTGTTCTCTCACTGCCTCTCCACAATTCTCTCTTGCCACCCATGTCCCCCCGCCCCCATGTCAAGTTCCCCTAAGGCGCACTGTGCCTCATGGCCATGCTACTCAGCTCCTGCTCTCTCCTTCTGCCTGGCAGACTCCATTTGCCCTCCGAACACTCACAGGCCCCTCCGTGAAACAAGAAGAGCAGGCGCTGGTGGGGCTCACCGAGGTCACCTCGAAGGCACAAGGTCATACTGCACCGGTGATGCAGGGAGACAGAAGGCCGCTTCCTGTCTCAACAGACAAAATGAGGTCGGGGTGCCATCCACCAAGCACCAGACCCTCCCGGCTGCCCAGAGTGACTGCGGCTCCCTGATGAAAGGCAGGGATGGTCTCGCTCAGTCACACCTCCTTCTAGAAAAGGCTGACTGGAGTACCGATGACAGGACTGCCCCGCTCCTGTCGGCACCCACCCAGTGCAAGTCCTCGCTTCCTTGAGCTCTCCCCCAAATCATCCAACCACAGCCCGAGTCCTGAAGTTCTAACACCGTCCTGGACAGCTGCAACAGAAAGGGTGGCTGCGTTCCGGGTGGAAGCAGGTGCGTTCCCACCTGAAGGCGTCCATGTCCTGTTCAGCAATACCCACACCTCTGCTCTGTTACCTTGAGGGGGCGGGGGGGGGGGGGC